AAAACAAGGTCTTTGCTGCAATGATTAGACATGTTTTTTATTATTGTCATTAGTGATTATCTCAATTTCGGCTAAAAGAATTGACTAAATCCTACACACTGTGCCTTTAAAGTTGTCATATTGATGATTAATTAGTGCTGACGCATACTGATTTTTGTTGATGTCAAAACTAAACAAAATTTGATTATCCACAATAAGCTGTGCATTAGTGATTTATTTTGATTCCATAAGTAAATGATCTTGTTTATTGCTAGATCAACTTGAATTCACTGACTAAAGTCTGTCTTATTTGTGTGGTCTCATATTTACACAGACAGGTTGTTTGTTTCCTTAAACAGAAGAATCTGTGAATTTCCTTATAATAAAGTTTGTTATAAGAAGTGTAGGTGTATTAATCACTACATAGGATTTTACTGGAAAAAGGTGGAATGCTCCATTAATTTGAGAGCAATGGTAATATTAACTGATAAAACAACAGTTAGAATCACACTGAAGGAAAGCCGGTCATTTCAACGTGTTTGTAAAGTTTTTCTTTTCAGCTACATGTAGTCACTCTAATTTGCTCCTGTTGATACTTTTCATTTGTGCTTTCAGATCTTTTCTTTGTTTCCAAAAATTGCCAGCAAGCCAAAACACACACACAAAAAAAGAAAAAAAGATTTTTAAAAAATGAGGTCACTTGTGCTGAACCAATCAGGAGACGCCATGCGGAGCTTAGAGAGCTGTGTGTTGACCCTCGTTACCTCCTCCTCCTCCTTGTCTGTGGGTCTTTGTATACTTGTGTGTGTGTTTGAGTTTGAATGTAGGGTGTTTCCACATCTGGAGCCTGAGCTGTGTTTTCCTGTTGGGTCGGCTCCCATACTCTGAAATCTTTTCTCCTCTGTTTCTCCAGACTGCGCTCCCTCCATCCTTCTCCTCTCTAAGTGTCTGTTTCCTGAACGAGCGAAACAAAAAGTCCCCAGCACATGAGCCCGATCCCAACTTTCCACGTGTGTGTTTATGACTGCAGCAATTGGTATGAAGGCTTGGAAGAAGGTAGATTATTGTCACAAAACCACAGGGCGGTCACATGCGAGCTTAACACAATTTAAACTCAGAACTGGCAGAGGGAGAAGGATTTTAGAGATGTTTTTTTTTTTCACTTCTATGCACGGTTTACACACACTCGTGCTTCTAAGTTGAGGTCATGGAAAATCTTCAAAGCGGACCGTGTCGCCCTGAGCACATTGGCCAATTCAGTCGGTTCGACACAGATGGGCTGCAGGCCCGTCTGAACCTGTGGAACCGTTCAGACGGACATGAATAATGGATGAGCTCCTTAAATAAATCTGCTACAACGATGGAAGTCTGTCCGTCCACGTCTCGATGAGCAGAGGATTCTTGACATTTAGCTAATGAACGTGGAGCCTGTTGTTTTCAAGAGGCCTGTTGCCATAGTGAGCACATTCACGGGCTGCTGCTGTTGTTTTAGAGAGTCGTCCATCAGGCAACACCGATCACGCAGCCAAAACGCTTTGTGTTGTTTGTGTAGGAAACAATGGACAGAAATGACTGTAAAGGCACCAACCCTCACTAAGTGAGGAGAAGCTGTCTGATGTGGTCGTTCAGACTGTGAGGCGTTGAGGAAACAAGCATCAGTTTCTCCTTTTGAACCCATCGCATGTACTTATCCACACTTGTGATGGTTTTAGCCTTGAAACTGGGTTGAAATTTTACATTTACATGAAACACTATGAAAACAGTATCTGGGTTTAGTTCAAATATCACCACTTTTATCTGACCTCACTCTTTAGCTTCACACTTAWTCCAAGAGTGAAATGGTAGTTGGTGATAGTAAACTGCAGCTACAGAATTGTTAAATGTAAATTTAAAGGGGACATATCGTGCAAAATTCACTTTTTATGGCATTAATATGCATTTTGTTGTGTACTTGGAATCTCTAGTGCAGAAAAGTTTGCTGTGTAGCTATCTTTATATTTTATTTGAGTCATATTTTAAAAAACTGTTCATTTTTCTCTATTTTCTAAGATGTTTTTAGAACTATTATATCACAGTTTTTGTGATGGAACTGCCTAATAAGGTCTGAACTTACCAACTACAGTTTGGTGGTCTTCATTCTCCTCTGGCTCTGGGTCAGACTCTGGGTCCAACATGTAAGGCTGGATGAACAAGTTTTCTCTTGTTGACATTTAATTAATTTGTAAATAAAACATTTCTGTGCCACTATATAGTCGTAAACCCCTCTATCAAACTAGAATGGACCGCTCTGGAAGATAAAGGGGGCGAGGTTTGAAGCAGCTCATTTGCATTTAAAGAGACAGCCTCAAACCGAGTTGATCTGAGACACACCTCAAAAAAGGAGTGAAAATGGGGCTTGTGGAGTTACAACATTGAGGAATTCAGACCAAAGTATTGCAGTTCCACTTTATCTAGATCCCAACTGAATGATTTATGTGTGAAAAAGAAGGGTCTGAAAGCTTCACATGTCTCATTTAAGGTCAATTAAAAAAATATTCTCCAGATAAGATGGACAGACGATTTCATGAACATTTT